TTAACATGAGATAATGGTTTTGTAAAAAGTGTATTCATTCAAAGATTTTCCTAAAGTATATGTATCTATTAGTGTTGAATATTTGTATTGTAAGATTTAACAATTAGATACAACCTTAGTTTAAAAGTATTAAATACTTAGATGGCAGTACAGTGAAAATTTGTGGAATAGACGTCAGCATCATGATATTGGCGGGTTTACTCGCTAGTTTACTTCCGATTTCTTTAGTATTTTGGTTTGTGTATAGTGTAACTGGTATCCATAACGCCTGTAAGAAATTTCTTTTGTTTTAGACGTTATTGATTCCACGAAATTCGTTGAGTGTTGCTGGTACAGTGGTAGTGATACAGTGAATCCTTAAATTTGAATGAGTAACACTCGTAGTCGTAGAGCCAGTGCTATACTGTATTACTATTACATTTTTATAGTACTAGTAGTAGTAGTACTATTACTAAAGAATTTCCAATACGACATGCAAATAATCCCCAGTTTTTACAAATTTTTATTAATTAGGCCGAAATGTTTTACTTCAAAGGTTAACTTATAGCATGGTTTAACAAATCGCCAAAAATTTAGTGAATGTTAAGTGAGTTTTGATGACTTGGAAGTTGAATTAAGCAGGATGTACCTAAATCTAGGAAACTAAACACCTACATGTAGAAAAAAAGGAAGTGCTGTACTGACAAAACAAGATGTAATCACCTGAGGCTGAAGACCAATAACTGCAAATTTAAACTTCATAAAAGTTGTTTTGGTCTTAATAATGGATTTTCTATAATTAAACTATGCAGATTTCGAAAATGATATTCATTATTTTCTATCACGTAAGGATTTTTTACAAATCAGAAAGAAAAAAACTCTTACTTAGATAAAATTATTATTTCATTTACCACAATGAACATTTTTAATATTATGTGTATTTCTCATGGGTTCTAGAATGATCACTAAGACTTTCATGTTGTGATTGGTCTAGAGAAATCTATAGCCAGTGGTTGTCAACATTTTAAGCATAACAAAATGTGACCAGATTTCAGTGAAAATGATCCACTTATGTAAAAGTACATATCATGTTTTGTGAAAAATCTTTACGTGATGGAGAAAAATGGATATCATTTTCGAATTCAGTGTATGGTAGAACATGCAAAAATTTCAAGACAATAAAACCGTCACAGGCCTGTGTAATTCTTGTTATTTAGTTACACATCCCTTTCCAGCCAGAAACTTTGCACTCAACCACGATACACTGTTGCTTATATCTAAAAACTGTGTCATATTGCCCAAACAAGTTCCAATTAATTGCATATCAGTAACATTTGTTTAGTTCCCCTCGTTAAGTCTTTCCCCCTTTCCATCAAAAAACTACAATACAAAGGTCTTCCATACAAACAAGTTGAAAATGTTATCAGTTACTTGATATCCATCATAGTTAATTTATTTGAGTAATGTTAAGAACAAGGTGTATGTTGTCGAAATGGTGTTTTAAGTGTTTTACACTCACAAAAAAAAACCTCTCATTCTATAGGTATTTGAAGAACTTGTAGCATTCTGCCACAATTTAATTCTTCGTATTTTTAGCTGACACTAGGCAGCTGATACATAGTTGAACAGAGTTGTTTAAACATTTATTTAATAACAAGTCACCCGAAATGTGAATAATGATATATTTATAATTTTTGTGACTATCACAGTGTATGTATAGTGCACATTTAGAAACATTAAGTTGGTCAGCTAGTTGTTCAAAGTCAATCACAATGTGTTTGGTTAATGTAACACAGTTTTTCAATATAAGCAAGATCTTATAAGGACAGAATGAGTGGTTTACACTTGGGAAAGGTGAAAGGCTAAAGAGGAGAGTTATTAGTCTTAAGTTAGTTCATATTTGATTACAGCTTGTTTCTTCAACATGGCACTTTTTTACATATGTTTTTCCTGTGCGTCCTACATTTTAGGAACACTCATTAAGCATGGCCTGGTGGTCAGGGTGCTTGACTTGTAGTCTGCGAGTCAGATGATTGAAACCCATTATCAAACATGCTTGTCTTTTTATCTGTAAAGGTCTTAGAATATGATGGTTAATTCCACTATTTGTTAGTAAAGAAAAGCCCAACTTCCTACCTTCCCTCTAATGTTATCACCTCAAAATCCAGGAAAGCTAGTGCAGATAGCCTGCAAATAGCTTTGTGCAAAATTCAACAAACCAACAATTAAGTGGTGTGCCTAATAATATTGTGTGTACACCCTCTTCCATGTTATTAGGAAATTATGCATACAAATAACAATTTTTGGTTGTATCCTTAAAATATAAATCTAATTAGAATTTAAAGAATGTTTACTTACTGTTCTGGACATGATATGAATTTCTGATTTTGTTTTCTATAATTTCAATGTCATTTTGTAATTCTGAAACCACATAATAAATCAGTTAGACTCAGATTTGTTTATATTAAATTACATAACTTCTGGTACTGAAATGTTGATGCATGGGATCAGGAAGTAAATAGATATACTGTTTGTTATTTAAAGAAATGTGGCAATCAATGAATTTATATCACATTACTACCACGTGGAACATATATTTCCATAAGTTAAAGAACTGAATTGTAACAATTCATGCAGTGGGATTAGACAGTATATTTGAGCAACCCAACTTCAGGACACACGATAACTAACATCACATTACAAGACCCTACATTGTTCTAACATGACTAACAGTATTCTGCACAAATAGCATATATTTTATGAACATTTTTTCATCTGCTTTTCTGAAAATCTACATGTATGAAGTGTTTGAATAAACTTTCTGTTAGAAGTATACACAAACTGCACAGTCAGTTAACAGCTGGATGTATAGTACATCTTGCCAAAGTGTTGACCACATAATTTTCCCATGCTGTGATCTTAACCACTTCTTTATAATTTTAGATTTTATTTCAGTACTACAATGGCATTGTTTTTGCTCATCATACATTGATTGATACATTGCTTAATTTAATAGAATTCAATTTGATAAATGTTTAAATGTTGCATACATCTATTCTTAATCCCTATTTAACTGATTTAAAAATGTGTCTATCTCTACTTTTAAATAATAATTAAGTAGTTTTTATAACTAGTGAACATTGTAAAATGTTTAGCATCATACATTGATGTATCCAATAAGTACCAAATGTAAAATATGATTTCATTTCCAAGAAGTAACATGGAGCCATTCAGCCCATCTAGTCTATCCCATTTACACCCATCCCCTTACTCCAGGCAACATAAAAATAACCTTTTTTGTCTTATAACCATCCCTGATCTCAAAAATGCTCATCTATGTCCTCATTTAAATTCCTTCTGCATCTGAGGCCAATGACTCTAGTAGTCAAGTAACACTGTCTTAAACTGGAATTGTGTGTGTGTGAGTTTTCCTTATTTTAAATTTGTGTGCTTACTGCCTGCAAATGTTTTTAAAACATTTTGTTTGTATTTATATATTTCAAACCCCTAACAATCTTAAAAATCTTATTCGTGGGTCCTAAGAAGCAGTTACTACTCACAATAATTAAATCATGATTTTTATGTAATATTTTTTGTAAGATAGAATTGAGGCATTGTGAAATACTTCTGGGGCACTAAGTGACATCTTTCTTTATAATATTTTAACATTCTTTGAAGAGGTTACTGCTTATGTAGAGCAGGGTAAAGGTGTGGATTTAGTGTATCTGGATTTTCAGAAAGCATTTAATAGGTGCTTGTTAAAAAGGTTATATCAATAGATGTGCGGGTTGGTTCATTGTATAGGAAAGTGGCTGGATGGAAGAACATAACATATAACATAATGTTTTGGGACATATTGGTCCAACTCTGCTGTTTCATCCTCTAAAGTAAATTAACATAGATAAATTAAAAAAAAATCTTAAAGCCAGCCCTTATCATTCATATACTTATCAAAAAAGCAGAGGATCATTATAAATGGATTTCAATCAAACTGGATTAATGTCACAATTGGTGTATCTCAGAGATCAACATTAGGACCTTTGCTTTTTTTAAATACTCAATGACATAGATGAAGGAATCTATATAAATATAATAGTACTGTCTGTTGTATATCCATGTAACTACTTCGCAGGGTGTGGATGGATCTTCACCAAATTTGGTATAGAGGTTCATTAGGTCCATGGGGAGATAAATACAAACTTGTGATTTCACATTTTATGTCTTGCAGTTTTTATAGGTGTTTTTGTGTCTTTTACAATTACACATAAGGGAAGCAACTTTTCATGTCCTAAGATAACCTTTCATTAATCATGAATTTACGTAACTTCCATCCGGGAGATAGGTACTCCAACTAGTATAGAATACAAATCAATTGCCTCGATATAATAAACATATAGAAAATACAATTATATGTATTATGTAGAGACAAAATAAAGGAATTTTGCATACTTGAAATAATACGCTGTAAAATTAAAACTAATTTTACCTTGAAACCATATAGATGCTGTGTTTATGTAAGTTTCTAAATATTGTCTTTGATTTTAAATTACAAAGTAAGTTGAGTAGTTTGGCTATATGAGACAGTGATTTATTATACTAATTAAATAGAGAGCTGAACAGAAATTTGGGTTTTATTCTGTACAACGTTTTTAAAAAACCTGTTGTTATAACACTGTTATTGTTTTACTTTTTTAAAAAGAAACCACACATAAAAGTGTTAGAATTTATATTATCATTCATTAATCATGCATTTACATAACTTCTATCCAGGGGACAGGTACTCCAGCTAGTGATCAATAAGTTACTTAAAGTTTCTAATGATATTAAGGTTGTGGGTGTTGCCAAATGTGAGGAGGATGCTACTGCTTTAAGAAAGGATTTAGATTATTTGATGAGTTGGGTGAATAAATGGTGGATGACTTTATATTATATTAATTGCAAGATAATGCATGTTGGATATTGTAATTTGAATTATAAGTATAATATTTGTTGGATAAAACATTAACAGTGTTATGGAAAAAAAAAGGATCTTGGTGCTCTGGTTGATCAATCTCTCAAGCCTTCCAAGCAGTGTGTTGCTGCCAGTGGTAAGCAAGTAAGACTTTAGGTTGTATGTATAGAAATATTGAATACAAGTCTAAAGGGGTTATAAATTGATTGTATAGGTCACTATTTAGACCACATTTGGAGTATTGTGTTCAATTTTGGGCTCTTTACCTTTGGAAGGAGATTGAATTGTTGGAAAGGGGTCAGAGTAGGGTTACTAGGATAGTACCTGGGATGGAAAGACTGTCATATAAGAACAGGTTAAAATCTCTGAAATTGTTTTTTCTTGAGAAAATAAAAGTTTAGAGAGGATCTGATTGAGGTGTTTAAGTTTCTTTAGGGCACTAACAGTGATGATTAATTGTAGTATTAGGGGACATGGATATAAATTTTGGCAGGTAGGAGTCATTTTCAGGTAAGATAGTTTTATTTTTATAACAGGGTAGTAAGCCTTTGGAATGGGTATCTTCAGATATTGTGGAAGCAGTAAATTTATAGGAGTTTAAAAGAATAATTGATAGTTTTTTAATGATAATAGATGGTTTTGAGTTTGTTTGTTTTTTGAAGTTTAATGGATGGGACAACTTCAATGGACCAATAGGACCTTTGTTGACCTTAAATGTTATATGATATACAACCTTTTACATTTTACTGCCCAACCAACTCTTAATTTATTTAACTAATCTCTTGCCCAAATAGATACAATATTCTTAACATTTTTATGTGGTATCGTATCAAAAGCTGTTTCAAAGACCAGTACTAAGGTCACTGCATTACCCGTGTCCGGATTAAATGTACCATTTTTGAAGAAAGCAGATTCATCAAACATGAGTTTCTCTTTTAAATCCATGATGACTAACTGTGATAATATAAAATTTGTTTAAATGCTCATGTAGAATTTCTTTGACTAAAAACTTTATTTCCCAGCTAGAGAACTAAGACTTACTGGCTTTTGATTACTTAACCATTATTTATCTTTCCTTCTATTCTGATCTCCAGTCTTCCAGTATCTGAATTATTTTAGTTATCCTAGGATTTAGATTTTCTAATCTTGTAATTTAACAGCCTTGGCTAAATAACATAACATCATTCAAGTATATCATACATTTTTGGAAGGATATCCTTGTAGAATCCAAACTACATTTTTCCTATTACAAGCATATGAAAGAATACATATATGATGCATTCCTCAGCAATCTAAAAAAACCTCAACAAAAACCTTCTTCATTTTAATTTACTCTAATTTTAATGCTTTTCTTTAATTTTCATTAGATTTTTATATCTGTGATATCCCCCTATACAAAAGATGAATCTTGGTAATGAAGACAATGGGAAAAAAAAGTAAATTAGAAAAAAAGACAAAGCAAATTACATAAACAGGTAAAAAAAGTCAAAAAAGTATTTTGGAAAACAGTATCAATAACACCTAGGCCAAGCCTGAGCCATTTATTGAAACCATGTAAACCAACTGAGTTAATAATTAAGCTGTTATTAATACAGTTTTCTAATCAATGGCTTCCCATTATTGTTCGACACTTGCTATTAAACCCTGCTTTTATGTTTATTCTTTCTTGTAATTTGTTTGTTCACCTATGTATATGTGTGTTTTTTTTACCTGTTTGTGTAATTTTCTTTGTCTTTTTTACCCTTATCTGTATTACTGCCACTGACAAAAGACTATTATTACAAGTTTAATGCTATATTCCATTTAAACTTTACATGCTAACAAATTTGATAATATTAAATCATTAATATTACCAGTCTGTACGTCATACGGTATTTCACAGAGTCAACAAACTTATCGAACAGTCAGTTTCAAACAATTTAAGACTGAGGTAAGAACATCTTCAAATTTTAAAAGTTACACCCCATTATCTAATTCTTACATTAAGGAATACCTAAAAGTGATAAAATATTCTATCAATAATGTGATGTTATAAAAAGTAGTAACAAATTGTTTATATTTTAAATTAATAGAAAAACCCAACATATGGTGTTACACTTGCAAAAATCATCACTGTTTTTATTACCCCATCCCTGTTATTTTTCTGATGCAAGTGAAAGTGAATATGGCCTCAAGTTGTTACTTAAAATAATATGAAACTTCAGATAACAGATTAATATGTTATGAAACCTTCTTTGACCAAAGCATGAACCTGAATCCAGATACTTGGTTCATATCAATATTCAAAATAAATGTTTTATTAATTGTAGTAAGGATTAAATTTGAAACAGATAACACCCCATCTTGACCATCCTCTCTCCTGTTTAAAATGAGGATTGTCCTCAAGCCCACAACAAATAAACTAGCACATGACACCAATCACCTAGCCAAGCATGTAAAATGATAGTTTGATTCACCATCTACACATCTGAGATGTCTTAGAGTTAGAACAATTGCATTGCTGCTATGGTGTCATGCTGACTTACATTGTATATATGATGTTAAGAACAGGACTTGAATTAATTTCCCATATATGTCACTTTTGTTAAAAGAATGGATGTATAATATGAAAAAAATATATACATTTTGAATTATTTAATTTGCATGGTTTCCACAAAATGAAGTATTTACTACTGGCCTGAAACCAAAAACTATGATTAAAGCACACATTTATTTAAGTTATCCATTTTAATGGTTACATGAAGCTATAAGCTATTATAGACTGCTTGTGCTTTGATTTATCAATTGGATAATATTTTGGGTTCTACACTGTATAATAACTTCTTCATAACTTGTCTCAACAATAGGACTTGAAACTTATCCTTTTTCACAAGTGCAAGCTTTAACAAATCATAATTTTGTTGAATATAAATATGGAAGTGATGAGTATTTTGGTTGCAGTTTACTTAATTAAAATTTATTGCATATGTATATTGATGAGAACTAAGTTATATGGAAAATATTTGCAAGATGGTGTTATCTTTTACTTTTATTCATTACATTTTCCTTTTAATATTTGGTATTTTTAAAATTTAAATAGCTGTTTTATTACATTTTAGTTAGATTAGTTTAGGAATTTTTTAAAAGAAAATGTTTTTAATTCAGATAGGCATGTTAATAAAAAGAGAAAAAGGATAACAGCTAGGAAATATCAAACCTTTAGGTTACTAAAGCCATAAAAGAGAAAATCAGGAATAAATGCCAAAAAAAGTTTAAGAAGTTTAAATTGCCAAATTGGATTGAAGATTTACAGAACAATAGGAAAGGTCATACATATAGATTTGGTTAGAAAATAAGTTAGTAAATCAAAAAGTGCCCACAAGAAACAGCTAGTCAGTGCTATTTAAACAAACAGTAACAGGAGTGTTTTTTTAAGTATGTTAATGGTAAACAAAATGTTAAAATAGGAATTTGGTCCTTAATAAATTTTATTTGCAAGGATTTTTTGTTGAAGACTATGAGATGGCTGAGCTTTTAAATGTTCTCTTCTGTTTTTACAAGAGAAGATACTAGCAATATTCCTGACCCTGAATATTCTATAAGAAATATGGGAATTGACTTGAGTCATGTAGATATTAACATCTTGATGATAAGTAGAAAGAATGAGATATTAAAAAATTAAGTCATCAGAACCAGTCATTGTTTTCTCCTGAGTATTAAAGAAAATCAAAGATCAGATATGCAAGCTTATTTCTTTCATTTTTGACAGGTCAATAGAAACTGGGCAAATGCCTAAAAATTGAAAAGTTACAAATGTTAATCTCATTCTTAAAGGGGGGGGGGGTGAGAAGAGTTGCCCTGGAAATTGTAGGCCAGTTAGTTTTACTTTTTAGTGGGAAAAAATTCTAGAGGCTTATGCAAAAGATTGATAGGATTGATTTCTTTGTTCTGTATTCTGAAGAAAAAAGGATGAGAATACACATGTTTAAGATTTGGAAAAGACAGACTAGGCTCCATTTAGTCTTGATTTATTTGTCGAAAAGATTGATTGGATTATTGTTGGTGGTAGTGAAGGGTTGCATGTTACATGAGTTTAAGAGGAGAATCAAGTTCCTGAAAATTAAAGGATGGATCAGCCTTGAAGTATGAAATTGGTCTCTTGATATCCATACATTTTTCTTTGTGTTAGCTGTTAATCAAAATTAGAATCTCATTTGCAGTTTAGTTATCAGTGTAAATTTGTTTCAGTTATTTTACTTTTTTATTTCAAACATTTTCTTTGCCTATCATTTGCATATTTGCAACTAATACAGTATATTTTCTGTGCTGTTTCAGAATTTTCAAACTGATTTATGCATTTGCAGGCACAAATAAGATTAATGTGCAGATAATACTGAAAAATATTCTGTATTTACAAGAATATTAACAAAAAGACACAACTAATTAGTCTCAGGCTCACCTTTTCATAGGGGAAAGGTTTGGTTTCAAAAACAGACATTTTAGAAAGAGTTTTACATGCAGTTTGCTAATATAAATAGTGCCTTAACCACTACTATATCAGTAATATCCCAGCCATCCTAAAGAGCCCTGTATTGGGCATAAAACCTTGTGGGTACTGGGTATAACAGATATAGTGTAGTTGACATTATATACTCATCTTAATTTCACTCAAACTTCTTACTAATTATTAACAGTTAATAAATGTAGTCTTCTCCTGTTGACTCTGTGGATGAATGACTCACTCTGGAATCAAGAAGACTAGCTTGCTGGATTTCCAGTTTTTTTTTAATAACGAGCAAGAAAAGTAATAATTAATTACATATGATTTTAAAATAAATTAATGATGTAGTGTTAAAAAATCTTTACCCTAATTCTGACATGATATAAGTAAAACTGATAAAAATTACATTTCATCAATTTATTCCATTTCACACTATAACAAGCTATTTGCTAATGTAAATGGCATCTCAACCATTGCTATATCTGTTGTATCCCAGCCAGCCTGAAAAAGCCACAATATTGAGCAAACGACTTCTTCACTTTCATTTGAAGTTCTTATTAATACTGTTTGTACTTTTACTTTTTAGCTTATGAAGATGAACTTCCATCTCCAGCTAGGTGGCTCTTGGCGGTGTTGATACCGGTTGCAGTTGCTGTCTGGGGTTTAAAAGGAAGAAGTGTGTCAATATCAGGGGCTGTTGCAGGTGAGATTCAAATGTGATAATAATTTTTTAATGAACAACTACAATGAATGATATAAAATCTAATTGAAATACAGTTTATGCATTTGTGGCTTCCTGATATGGTGTGAACATTTTAAAAGTGAATAAGAAATTATACATTTTCATCAGTATTAAAAATGTATGAAATTGAAGTGAAGATAAGCTTTAAACATGGTAAAGTGCTTGTGTGTTAAACTCATAGATTTTATATGTAATTAAGTTGTTGGAATTTTATTGCATTAGTGTGAAAATGATATAAAACAGGAAGTGTAAAAATATGACTTAACTGGACACTGTAAAGTTAACATAGGATAGGGCAACTCAGAAAAGTATATTAGATATTACAGTTTCTTTTCATATAACTTTATATTTATTTCTTACTTTTTCTACCTTAACACTAACTGTGGCAAAATCATCATTGTACAGTGAAATGAAAAGTTTAAAAATATGAAGTGAAATGAATAATACCATACTGACTGCAGATTGGATCAAAAAGTTTCAAATTACTTATCATAACAGTTTCAACTGTTAATCTTTTCACATTTGTTTCCTTTTAATTTTATGGTTTTATTACTCCACCTTGTACTCACTGAAGCAGTGATTCTCATATCAAAGACAATAAGTTACAGCAGGAGACCATTAGCTGTTTCCTGTAGAGCTAGTATAATCACCACATTATTTCTTAGTGTGATATTTCAAGCTCAAGATCATAAAGTTTTAGAAGTTTTATTGAAGTTTTGTCAGGGGAAACTGAGAAATTTCTAATTTTTACATTTTAGTTACTTTTGTTAAAAAAATATAACAATGAATGAAATATATGTAGTACTTACTGTTTACTTTAGAAAAGATTTTGGGTGTTTTTCCATAAGCCTTGTTGAATTTTACAGATTTGTATGTCCAGAAAAAAAAAAAAACTTGTGTAGCATTCAAATATGCATTTTAGAACAAATACATCACTAAATAGAATAGAATATCCCAAAACAAATGTAATTTATCTGGCTATCTAAGGTAAGTTATAAATAGGTTAGAGAATTTCTTTAGCATTCGGAGCATCAAATTATGATTACCATATACCAAGCAATTCCACTGACTAGCAATTTATAGTGCAAAATGTAAACAACTTGTAAGGTTTATGTAGAAGAAAACATGCTCTTTCTATTGGTTATAAACATGTCCACCAGCCATATAAAGTTGATTAAAAAACAAATTTGAAAGTCAGAGACAGAGGAGAGGGATTTCTTGGATAGATAGATTTGACATATTTATTGATATCTGAGCAAATCAAGAAGGTAGGAGGTTCAACTATTAGATTATTGATTGTAATGTGTAGTTTTATAGTTTTTATTGTGAAGAAAAAGAAATAACGAGGCATATCTTAATACACATAAGGTAAGATAGCTGTCTCGCATAGAGGTTTTGTCCCAATCAGATTGACAGGTGGCTTCTGTCTCTGCCAGTCAGCTAGCTTTTGAAAGTGTTTCTGACTGGTATTTAATGGTTATTGGAAACACTATAAAAACCTATTTGAATGATATACATTTAGCATTTTTTAGTTAAGAAAAATACATATTAATAAACTTTTGAGAGTATTTGAAAAGTAAACATCCAATATGTGTTGAACAACAGTCAAAATATGTTTAAAAGTTAGTTTCTTTAGGTTATATATTACTTTAAACCAGTTTTCAGAAAGAGTTGGTTGGTTAGTTGTTGCTGTTAAGCACAAAGCTACACAGTGGACAGTATGTACTGCGCCCACCACAAATATCGAAACCGGTTTTTGCATTGTAAGCTTTAAGGCTTACTACTGAGCTATTAATCTCACAGAAATGCCAACAGTGAAAAAATAACATAAATTCTCTGCTTTTAGCAGATATAACTAGTCAGCTTACATAAGTGTTGTAGTCATAGCTTTTTTTTTAATTTTAAATAGTTTTGACCATTGTTTGCAACTTGTCAATTATATTCATAACCACACCTGAATTATCCAATGTCAGTATTTGTTGATGGTCACTGGCTAAACACAAGTACTCACTTGCTTTTTACCAACTAATCAACCATTTATTTTGTGTCCTGTGTACAGTATATATTTATACTAAGAATAATAGTTCTTCATGACATGACATTGTTTGCGATATATGCATGTACTTTGATATTTAACATCTATAAAAAGTATATTATAAAATATCAACATATTGAATATAAGATCTTTAATTGTATTTCTTTTCAATATACAATTTTATTGTTGTTATTTAAATCTATTTATAGTTGTAATATTTATTCTTAAGTGACATTTTAATTTTTATATCGTATATTTTTTCATCAAAATACAATATTTTACCACCCAGTTGCAATTAATATTAATTGTGTCTTTCTTCCATCAGGATTTGTAGTTGGTTTTCTCTTGACAGTAAGCAGCTATCAATTCCTTGTGTGTTTGCTGGTTTTCTTTGTATCTTCTTCCAAAGCAACAAAGTTTCGTTCTTGGAAAAAGAAGAAATATGAAAGCGAATTCAAAGAAGGTAAAAATATTTTATTATACTTCTTTGAGTTTTTGATGTAAATACTGTTTTTATATAATGCATGATATTAATGCATACAATAACATAAGGTTTGCAAACCTGATAGATCTACTCCATCTTTATAAAAGTATGTGTAAAGAAATGTTATGAAGTGACTTGCAGAATCACAATCATCTCTGGCAAGCTGGTGTCAGGTGAATTCTAAAAACTTAACTAACAACTTCTAAAACTGACAATTTATTTATTTAACATTATGTAGGTGGAGAAAGAAACTGGATTCAAGTAATTAGCAATGGAGGAATTCCATCTGAACTTGCTCTGTTGTTTATGATAGAATGTGGTGTGGGTGAGAGGCCAATTGACTTTATAAAAGACTACAATTGCTCATGGTTTGCCGTTTCTGTTGTTTCTGCTCTTTGTGGAGCAAATGGTGATACATGGGCTTCTGAATTAGGCCCAGTTTTTGCAAAAGGTGACCCAATACTGATCACAAACTTAAGAAAAGTGCCAAAAGGTAAGTGTGTGTGTATGTATGATTGTATATATGAATATGCATACATACATATATAAATATTCAAAGTACAACCAGATTCAAAGTATCATTTTTTTTATTCATATTCTGAATTTTGGTTGATTTGTAGGAACAAGTTAATATTAAAGAGTGCCAAAACTTTGATTGCTTCGTGTATCTAGTATCAGAAAAGCCAACTAACCAAAATCCTTTTGTGCTTTGAACTTTGAATATATACATAGTTATATATTAAATATTCTCAAGGATATCATATATATATACATATATGTGTGTGTGTGTGTGTACACACACACACACACATACATACAAGATGAGTTGAAAGTCCTAATTTTCCCTGTTGTTATGATATAGATGTGGAATATTGAAAACTTGCTGACATACGGTGTCTAGTCATAGTCTAGACAGAAATGTATCCAAAACTATCAGTCTGAGGTAAAAATGTGTTGATACAAAAGTTGTACAGTACAATAATATTACTCTAGAAAAGTTGCTTGTTTATTCAAATTTTCTCTTGTGAGTTTGTCTGGAAATAATAACAAAGAGAATGTGTTATGCCAAAAAAAATTTACTTATAAAATATGCTGAATGTGTAGATCCAGAAATATGTACTTGTGCACAATGTTTTATGGACTGTTGGACTGTATTATTATTTAATTTTTCAGTAAGTTATTTCAGTTTTGGAACATACAGTTTGTGTTCTTGATGAAGTGATATATACATGATACATAGAGTGAGAGAAATTGAAAAATTAAATTATTATATTAGCTTCTACTAACCTTGCACCTTTCAGTGAACATTAGATAAGCTAACTTGTAGAACTTGTATTCAAAGAAATAAAACACTTTCATTAATTGGTATTAAAAATACACAACTGTTTAAGTTGAAGTGAGTGTTATGACTTAAATGGTTTAAGTATAGCACGAGTGTTAAATTTAGTTATTTGTAGAAGTAATAGTTTATATCAAGTTTGTTTACATAACTGTGTATGAATCATACCTTGTGTAGTTCAGTTCTTGTGAATTGGTGATTCTTGTATTATTGTGTCATGTTACTAGAACCTACAAGTATTTCTTGTTGTTTTAATCGAGTATTGTTGCATCATTATATCTCGTAGTGTGTGGAACATCCTAGACCTCAGTTACACTATAAATATACATTAGAAATTTAGTTTGAGTAAGACATACTTAGTTAGATAGAAAGATAGATCTAGAATGCATGATTGTGAGTTTAATGAAATTATCACAGACTGTATTGTAATAACAGAGCAGGAAAAATTGGTAATTTGTTTTGTCAAAGTGTTTTCTAAACTAACTGAACCAGCCAGTGTTAACTTTAACAAAAAAGGGACAATTATTTAAAGCTCTGGATATAACTGGGAACCAACAGTGTAATTAACATTTATATATGTATTTTAAAACAAGTGGATTGTTTGATGTTTATTTATTGTTGAAATTTATCACCAACAAGTCACAGATACTTACTGTAAAGAAACCTGCCCATACATATAAAAACCTGATAACTGGACTGGTCTTTGCATTCTTCATTTTACTAAATAATCCAAAAAACCCACCAAACAATAGAAACTTTTATAACAATAATGTCAGGAGTTGTATTATTTTGATATAAAATAAATTAAAACTCACCTTCAAAATTATGATCTGCTTGAAGCAACATTCAAAAATTAATGGAAATGATGAAACAATAGTAAGAAGATAAAAAGAAAGAGACCAAAAATTAAAAGAAGATCAAGAATAAAATGGGAGGAATTTAATAAAGGAAGTACATCAACAAGACATGTGATTTGCATAAGAATTATGAACAAAAATCAGATTGATTGAAAGCAAGATTGAGGAAGCCATAAAAAATATACAGAAGGATTATGACAATAAAATAAAGTACATAACATAAAATTCAAAACAACATCAACAAAATAAAAAAATGAAGTACATAAGGACCAATGAAATACTGAAATAGTATAACAACAAAATTGAAGTAAAAAAATGACATTGACACCAGGTTAAAATATATCCATAAACTCAATTGACAAATGCAAGGAACAAGCCAGTTACATCTCTCTCTGCATGATTTTGCAAAAAAATTTCAATCTCAAACACTATGAACTGTGCCATATGGACTAGGAGAACCTATCTTGTCTACACCTGTGAATACTACTGTTTTGCCAGCTGTGACCGTAGGACCTTACTAATGTATAATAGCTACACTGCTGCTTCATCAAGTTACAAAATTTAGTAAGCCAGCTCAATAGCATTGCCCAATTTAAATCAGCAGACTATGATGGAAAGTTGGTACCATGGGAGGCATATCAGGCACATTTTGAAATAATTTCCAATATAAGTGGATGAAGAAATGAACAACAAGTTATTCATCTTGCTGCACATTTAAAAGGACCAACATTAACTGTGTTATGCAAACTTTCTACAGAGGTCCATAACAGCTACTAGGCATCAGTAGCATTTCAAATAGATTTGGAGGGAAGTTTCTAAACTAAAGTTCAGGAACATAGTAAAAAGGAGGGAAGATAATTCAGCTGAATTTGCTGAAGATGTGTAAAGACTTGCCCAATTACCTTTTTCAGATACTCCCTATGAAATGATACATTCATTGACATGATATCATTCTACAGAGGTCCACAACAGCTACTAGGCATCAGTAGCATTTTCAAATAGATTTGGAGGGAAGTTTCTAAACTAACGTTCAGGAACATAGTAAAAAGGAGGGAAGATAATTCAGCTGAATTTGCTGAAGATGTGTAAAGACTTGCCCAATTATCTTTTTCAGATACTCCCCATGAAATGATACATTCATTGACATGATATCAATTCATGGATACCATAAAGGATGAGGATATGTAAATTGGACTAAAGCAAAGTAGATGTACATCTTGGTGGGAAGCTGTTTAGTTGGCAATGGAACTTGAATCAGTTAAAGTCACAGATAAACAAGTAAAGGCACATTCAGGATTTATGAGATATCAGGTCAAATAGTGTATAAATATCAACTTTCTGATGAGAGTCTAGAAAAACTCAAAGAATTGTTTATTTAGAATGTAATAAATAAACCACAAGACAGAAGATTTTTCAGTTGCAACTTAAAATAGCATATTGTCAGAAACTATAGATAAAAGCCTTTAGGAAAAAGAAATCAGGTGGTTTAAGGGACTCCACTGGCTGTTTTTAATGTAAACATTTCTAGAGGTTTGTACCACAAGTGGGTATGATGTAGCATGATGGGTGTGGCTTAGTGTTTGGATATTCTTCCAAAGTTTTAGTACAGTTTGAGCAGTATAAAGTGAGAGTTAGGCTAGAGTGAATGAATATTGATATATGAGCCTGTTAGTAAGTTACATTGAGTTTAGAGTAGTGTGTTATTATTTGATTGAGTTTTTCAGTCAATTAATTATTATATTTGTTTTATTAGCAAATAAGTGAAACTGTCAATAAACATTAGGTAAGCTTATGTGTAAAACTTAAGAGTGTAAGAAATAAAATGCTTTCATTGTCATTCATTAAGTAGACAACTTTGGTTTCTTCTTTTCTTTTGACCAAATAATTCAAAAGAGCCTAGCCAACTATAGAACTGTTACAACAATTGTTTTAGCAATGAAATGGAACTCACAAAAGTTATTGCTATAAAATATTTTCATAATACTAATAATTGGTAGTTAAATTGCCAAGTTCTACCCTATCAGGTATTCTTTCATTGAAGTTTAATTGTACTAAATTGTTTCCTCTGTATCTAATGGTTATTAAAATACATTTCTAGAATTCTCCAACTTTTTTTTTTAATTAAGCAAGCTTATTAGAAAAAAAAGATAGAGTTATATTAACAATATTTAAACTGATGTGTCAGTCTGGCATTATATTAGTACTGGTTGAATCAATTTCTACTGTTCATAGAATACCATTTTTGATTTTTTTTTTCTTATAGCTATATTCACCACTCATCATTTTGCAAATGAATAAGTAATTTGTTTTATTATTATTATTTTGTTTGTGCAAAGCCTCACTAATGTGTCATTTCTTGTCATGTTGAACAAGTTGATAACCATGGATGACTCAAGAATCACAAGATTGCCTCTGTTGCTTAGTAACTTTATATAATGACCTTAATCTTTAGTCTTAGTTTTCAGTGTTTAGTACAAGGTTTTTGCACAGATTATTGAACTACATGAATGGTTTTTCAAACATTCAGGAACAAATGGTGGTGTGTCATTACCTGGTCTTCTCTTCAGTGCCTTAGGTGGAACATTAATTGGAATATCTTATTACATATCACATCTGCTTTTCATCAAGCAAGAATATCTTTTTTTAAGTTCACCACAGTGGCCAATCATCATTATAGCTACTTTTGCTGGCTTTTTTGGATCATTGGTGGACTCGCTGTTGGGTGCCACTATTCAGTTTTCAGGTTTGTTAACATGCCCTTCCCTTTCATATAACATAATTCCAATATTTATATTTATGTAATACTAAACATTTTAAAAACTTCCTTTTTTCTTCAAGAAGAATTTTTAAAATATGCTGGATAAGTATATAGAATTTCATTTATTCACTGTACATTTGGTTCAGTTATTGTTTTAGGTAATATTTGTGTTTATTTTTGGGATATTCTTTTTTCAGCTTCAAGTGTATATACATTTACATTGAGGGTAGATAAGCAACATCTAAATTTAAGTTAATTTCATAATGTAGAGAACATACTATGTATTTGAACAGAACATTGATCAGTCTTTATTCACATATCTGAAAAGAGAGATTAGAGTTCTGTTGAAAAGTGTAGCATGTTTTCCACCAAAAATTAATTTACTCTTGTAGTAACATAATGTGCTTCCATTTACAAGCTTAACAAACGTGATTAAAGTAAAGAAATTATGTTTAACATTGAGAATTTTCTGTTGTAACATGAAATGGGAGGTAGTCAGGCTGTGATTAATACACATTGATATCTTTATTTTTTTACTATTTTAACTGCCAAATGACACTGATTCTTCCTGTAGCTGTAATTATTTTTTATAGTCTTGCATGTATACTGTAATTTTTGATACTGCCAAACCAGTAAGAGTTTCATTATATATTTTGTTATTGTTTTACAAATTTGAATTTAAGTGCATGTCTGAATTTTTTTCTGAAGGAAGAATAATATTTCAGGTATAAATCAGAAAAGTGGAAAAATTGTGGAAACCAAAGGAAAAGAAATTAAACACATCAGTGGAATTGGAATTCTAGATAACCATTCTGTCAACCTTGTGTCCACACTGATCACTGCTCTTCTTATGCCTGAGGTAGCTTCTGCTCTTTGGCCTATGTTTGAGTGATGTTTAGTGTTAGCGTGTTTCCCTGAGATAGATATTATAATACGAAGTTACTCTTGAACTTTTAATACTTTTTATATATATTTAACTACAGTATTAAGTTAAAGAAAGTATTTAATCATTACTATACTAACCAGACTGGATAAACTAGTATCAATGAAAGACTTTTTTGTTATTTTTAAAAACTGCCAAGAGCAATCTTTTGGATAACTTTTTCATCAGAGTATTTTGCTAAAATCTCATCTATATCACTTATTTTAATATTGAAGATAACACAGGGTACCACCAAAAAGAATAAGATTGATGTATCATAAATGTTTTTTTTTATCAATACAGTAATCTCACAGTGAAATGAATCAATTTGAGCTGATCTATTTTCATTTATGTTTACATGTACTATTTGAACAAAGACTGCTGTCAGGAGAAAAATTTCTTTTGTACATGTTTTAATGTCCTATTAATTTGGGCCACTGTAAGATATGCATAGATATATGTACATGTATACAATGCATTTAATGCACATTGGAAAGTTATTTCAGATTTATTCAACTAAATGAAACCACTGTTTATTACCATTGACTTGTACTTCATATCAAATGCATTACTTGAATGCAATTTATCATATATTTTATATATATATATATATATATTTATTGTGGTTGTTGTTGATACAAAAATACTATAGGTTTTAAAATATAAATTAAAATCAACAGTAGATTTACAACCTAACTATTAGTTTTCATATTAGACATTTTCCAGTTGTGCCTGAGATTCTTTATGCACGTTTAAAAGCATGTATATATAATTTCTGTTCATGAAACTATAGTCTAATAGATTGTCAGATTTCTCCCATTTCAGCTTATTGATCTTAATTTGCCTATGACATTACTTAGAAGCTTTTTTCTTAAAGAAGTTTGAAAAAAGAATTTATAATGTGCAGTTTTTCACACACACACATATGTATATATATACACACATACATACATATATATATATATATATATACACACACACACACACTAGTTAGTTTACAAGATATCTTGTTTTGACAAACAGATTACTTTTAGTTATAGTAAATTACGTTAAAGTAAGGTTAGTATTAGTAAGTTACTAGTCGTCC